CTGCGAAGTCTGTTTGAAATGCAAGGTCAGCAGTTCAAGGTCAGCAGTTGCTCCTCTTAAACCCTATATAGGCGCACTATGGTCAGAACCAACTAGATGGCATTTTAAAACAACAACAACCAACTTCTTCAGCCTTAAAATTGATTAAACATGAAATCAAGATGCACTGATAATTACTGGTGATTTGAATGGAAAGTTTAAAATCAAAGAAGAAGAATCAATCATTGGAAAATATGGCCTTGTTCATAGAAAGAATGCTGGAGATCCAGAGATAGAATTTTTCGAGACCAATGACTTCTTCATTTCAAACATCATTTTTAAACAATATAAAAGATGATTATGCACATGGACCTCACTAGATGCTCACTGAAAGCAAGTAAACTACATCTGTGGGAGGAGATTGTGGAAAAGCTGAATACCAACATGCAAAACAAGGGCAGGGAGAGACTGTGGAATAGATCATTAATTGTTCATATGCAAGTTCAGAAAGAGGCCGAAGAAAATGAAAACAAGTCCATAAGAGGTAAATTTGACTTTGACCATACCCAACCTGAATTTAGAGATCATCTCAAGAAGAGATTTGATGCATTAAACACAAATGATCAAAAAGCAGAAGAGTTGTGCAAAAAGAAATCATAAATGAAGAAAACAAAATGTCACTAAGAAAAAGAAAAAGAAAGATAAGATCAAAATGGATATCAGAAGAAAATCTGAAACTTGAAAGAAAATGGGAGAATTAAGAAGGTAAGAGAATTGATTTAAAAAACTAAAAGGGCAGCTTGAAAAGCCAAAGTTAACTATGATAATGAAGTGTGCAAAACTGGAGTTAGAAATCCAAAAGGGAAGAACACAACCAGCATTTCTCAAGCTGAAAGTAGTGAAGAAACTATTCAAATCTCCACTTGCTATACAGAAGGATTCTATGGGCAAAAACTGAATGATGCAGAAAGCATCAAAAGAAGATGGAAGAAATAAGACACAAAAAAGTCACTAGACACAAAAAAAGACACAAAAGTCACTATACCAAAAGGAAATGGTTGATTTTCAACCATTGTAAAAGGTAGTATATGAACAAGAGCCAAAGATACTGAAGACAGAAGTCAAAGGTACACTGAAGGCACTGACAAAAGGGAAGGCCCCATGAATTGATGGCATATGAATTGAAACCGTTCAACAAAGCACTAGAGGTGCTCACTCATCTATGTCAAGAAATTTGGAAGACAGTTACCTGGCTAACTGATTGGAAAAGGTCTGTGCCCATTCCAAAGGGAACTGAGTCAATGGACTGTGGACATTATTCAATAATATCATTAATATCACATGAAAGTAAAATTTTACTAAAGATAATTCAAATTGTCTACAAAAGTACATTGATAGGGAACTGCCAGAATTCAAGAAGAATTCAGATGAGGACATTGTTGGTGGTAGTTATGTGCTGTGGAGTCGGTTCTGACTCATAGTGACCCTGTACAGAGTTTCCGAGGCTGTAAATCTGTATGGGAGCAGAAAGCCTAATCTTTCTGACCTTGCGGTTCACAGCCTGATGCATAACCACTAAACTACCAGACATAGATGAGGGATATTATTGCTGATGTCAGATGGATCTTGGATGAAAGCAGAGAATACCAGAAAAATGCTTCTTGTTAAGTGCCATCGTGAGGGTTCTGAATCACAGAGACTCTATATTGGGTTTCTGAGGAACAGCTGCTTTATTGACCACACAAATGCTTTTGAATGTGCGGATCATGACAAACTATAGGCAACATTACGGGGAATGCATATTCAGGAACACTTAACACTTAATTGTGCTCATGAGGAAGCTTTATGCAGATCAACTGACAGTCATTTGATAGACTAAGGGAACATTGAATGTTTTAAAATTAGGTATGGTCTGTGCCAGCATTGTATTCTTTAAACATATTGAGCAAATAATCCAAGAATCTGGATTACATGAAGAAGAATGTGACATCAGGATTGGGGAAAGACTCATTAACAACCTGTGATACAACCTTACTTTCTGAAAGTGATGAATACGTAAAATACTTATGGTTGAAGATCAAAGACCACAGCCTTAGTTATAGTTTACAACCTCAATGTAAAGAAGAAGAAAAAATCCTCACTAGTGGAACAATAAGTAACATCAAGATAAACTGAGAAAAGATTCAAGCCATCAAATACTTCATTTTGATCAACCATCAACAAACTTGGAAACAGCAGTCAAGAAATCAAATGACATTTTGCATTAGGCAAATCTGTACAAGACCTCTTTAGAGTATTCAAGAGCAAAAATGTCAATTTTATGACTAATGTGTACATGACCCAAGCCATAGTATTTTCAGTATCCTCATAGGCACGTAAAAGTAGGACAATGAATAAAGAAAACTGTAGATGCATTTCAATTATGGTGTTGGAGGAGAATATTAAATGCACGGACTGCCCCACCCCCCAAAAAAACAAACAAATCTATGTTGGAAGAAGTATAGCCAAAATCTCCTTAGAAGCCAGGAGGCCAGACATCATCTCTCATACTTCAGCTATATCATTAGGAGGGAGCAGTCCTTGGAGAAGGACATCATGTCTGTAAGGTAGAGGGTCATCCAATAAAAGGAAGACCCAAACGTGGTGGATTGTCACCGTGGCAGCATCAATGACCTCAGTTTTAGCAATGACTGTGAGCTTGACACAGGACTAGGCACTATTCATTCTGTTGTGCATATGGTCACTATGAGTCGGTACTGGCTCGACGGCACATAACAATAACAACCATGATTTTGTTTACTGGTGACAAAACAAACTCTATAACTTTTATTCCTTTTGTCTTACTTTATTGTACTGGCTCATAAAATACAACATTAAGTAGAAGTGGT